TGGGCACTGGCTGCGAGCACGACGGCGTCATCTACCGTAACGGCCAGAGCTTCCAGCCCAGCTGCAAGTACCAATGCGTGTGCGTCAACGGCGCCATCGGCTGCGTGCCACTCTGCACCGAGTCCAAGCCGCCGCGCGTCTGGTGTCAGAACCCGCGGCGCGTCAAGGTGCGAGGACAGTGCTGCGAGGAGTGGATCTGCGACGAGCCCCGGAGGGGACGCAAGGCAGCACCCAGGCACGCCGCGGAGGGTAAGTGTGATGAAAAGCCTGCAGTTTACGCCAGAATGCAGTGAAACTCCTCTACAACGAAACCTACATGGGCGAAAATACCCCCTAGTGTGAAAAAATTTTTCATGCATGAAAGCCATTCCCACTTTTCTGCCGCCCCCCATGACGGAAAGTCCCCCTGTTCCGTTATACGAAATCCTTTTCTCAGCTCTTGCCTCGCAACGAGATTCACTACAACGAAAGCAAGCCTTCCACAAAAGTCTAATCCAACAGCGACCTCTACTGCTTCGTTCGAAAACGGCAACGGCAACCACCACACTGGTTTACACAAGCGCAGTAGTCCAGGAAATATTTGTTATTGTTAGTTTCAGACGCAGCACGAACGTTGCCTTGCTAAAATGGCTACGAAATGGACCTTTGCAGACCAAGGAGGTAAGAAAAGAAAAACATTCACGCTTGAAGACAGGATAAAAGTCATAAAAATGAAAGATGGAGGAAGCAAAGTAAAAGACATTATCCAAGAAATTGATGGAAGTGAAAGTAAATGCTGATCGTAAATTTCGTAATTTCTTTTCCTTTTTTTCGTTCTACGCTGGCTATATGAAGTGTCAAATAAGTGTATGCTCATATTTATGCACGACGTATTGGAATAAAAATAAAGAGTACACACATACATTTTGTGTGTGTGTGTGTGTGTGTGTGTGTGTGTGTGTGTGTGTGTGTGTGTGTGTGTTAACATCTGAGATAAAATTTGCTACAGTGAAAAGCCCCCTGTTGTGAAAAATTTCTTGCTTCAAAGATGATTTTGTTGTAGAGGAGTTTCACTGCACCAGCGATCCAGACCCGAATCTCCTTAGCACCAAGACGCCACAAGATGGTGGCCAAAGTACTGCTTTTATGAAAGAGATGAATTTGCAAATGCCGAACTGCCGTCTCAGCATTTCTCGGCGCGTAACGCTGGCGCCTCTGCATGTGTCAGCGCCCCCGGCTGAGCTTAGCAGCTGGCACGAGAACTGCGTGAGCCAGACCACGTCGTGGAGTCCCTGCTCCAAGACGTGCGGGCGGGGCCTGTCTCTGCGCGTCTCCAACGCCAACCGGCGCTGCGAGCTGGTCAAGGAGTCGCGACTGTGCAACCTCAGGCCGTGCGACGTCGAAATCGCCAAGCACATCAAGGTACAAATGCCGGAGACCCCGAAACCTCCGACCTCCTTTCTCACTCTACCTGCTTCCTTCTTTCTTTCCTCACTCTCTTACTTCCCCATCATTCCTTCCATTTTCCCCTCATTCTGCCTTTCTCCCTGCTCATCTTCTTCCTTTCCAACCATCTTTTCTCGACCCAAATAATACTCGTCATGACGACGTTTTGAGTGAGACGCTTATCGGTCCTCGTTGTGGTCCTCAGACGGGCAAGAAGTGCTTGAACGTGTACCGCGAGGAACGCCCCTCCAACATGAGCATCTCGGGCTGCACCAGCATCAGGCAGTACCGGCCAAAGTTCTGCGGCGTGTGCACGGACGAGCGCTGCTGCATCCCGTATAAGTCCAAGACGGTGGACGTTGACTTTGTGTGCCCGGATGGCTCCACCCTCTCGTGGAAGATGATGTGGGTGCAGGCCTGCTTCTGCAACCTCAGCTGCAAGAACCCCAACGACATTTTCGCAGATCTGGAGAATTACTACGGATACCCCGAAGTCATGAACTAACTAGGCCACGCCCCCTTTTGTAAACGTTTTGGTGTCATTCCTATTTCATCTTTTTGTATTTGTAACTCTTCTCTTTTTTTCCTATTGGAAAAATATGTAAATAATGAAGTCATATATTTCCACAAAGGACTTGTTCAGCAATTTTTAAAAAGGGACTTTCTGGGTCAGGTGTGTGTGTGTTTGTGTGCGTGCATGTGTGTGTGTGTGTGTGTGTGTGTGTGTGTGTGTGTGTGTGTGTGTGTGTGTTTAACTCTTAATTGAACAAAGACATGACAAAAATAAATACCGAATATTTGTAAAGATGGGTCTATTAGTCTTCAGTTCTTTTCTTGCTGTTTAGTTGTGTCATTTTTCGTTTCTAAAGACTTGGTAATGCACAAAGTTCTCTCTCTCATAAATTTAAAAATATATTTTGCAGTATTTTCTTACTAAAAATTACAAAATATATTTTTTACAAGTATTTTAGGCTTTTGGTGTTTTTTTTTTTTTTTGCATGACTGGGGTCTGTGCTTGCTACCGCGACTGTTTTTTTTTTTGGGGTTGGGGGGGCACCGGGGGCGTGGTATTGCTGATTAGTAAGTGCACTCACCTGAGTGTACGGTGTGCGCATGCGTGTTTAACCTTCTACATGCGGTTGCCTTTGAAACTTTCTGCTGACTGCCAAGCGTGGACCTTAAACGTCAACATCATCAACGACGTGGTGCGGCTGAAACAGATTTATGAGGTACCTTGCACAGCAAATGAAGTAAGTGCCTGTTTTTTTTTTTCTTCCAATGTGAATGTGACACAGGTTAAGACTCGATTGGCTCACACACACACACACACGAAATATATATATATATATATATATATATATATATATATACACACACGTGCACGTTTTTTTACCTTAAAGACCAAAATTCTGTCGAAAACATTCAAGTAAAACGACCCCCCCAAAAAAACGACACGATGAGATGAGTTAAGTCATTTTTTTTCCTCAATAAATACAAACTGTTATGCGGTTCTAGCGCCAGCATCTTTACAAAGCCGTCAACAAGCACCTACAAATTCAAACCTTTTGCCAACGTAGTGCTAGTCAGAGAGGAGAGCGAGTTCTACACCGTTATCATGAATGACAACCAAATCAATGATGACAAAAACTTTTACGTCTCACTCGTACACTTGCACAAAGTGAACAAATGCGTTGTTTCGTTCTGCTTGATTGTACAGAGAAAAAAAAAATCGTATAAAACTGTTACAGTAATCGTTTTGTCTGCCGGCGTTGTTAATAAAGCTTTTTGATTTAGTGGTTTGACTAAAAAAAAAAAAAAGTATGTCCCTTAATCCTGTATGGTTTTCATCTTTAAAAAAAGTTTCTGAAGCGGAAAAAGAAAGTTATACAATTGCGAGAATGTAGCAAAGCTGTCAGTCTGGAAAAAATAAAAACAGGAAGAGACAAATAAGGATGCACAACAACATTCCTCTGCGCTCTCTGCCTCCCCCTAGTGATCCCCCCCCCTCCACATTCTACATCATCTCTAGACTCAAAAGCACTGATTCAACCCTCCTAATAAGGTTCAAAAATACATTGAAAAAAAAAATTTGCCTTCGGCTTGGCGTGGTCCACAAGGGCAACAAGAGCAAAGGGAGGGGTAGCACAGCAGCGCCTTTTAGACCACAGCGCCGTGTGTGTGTGTGTGTGTGTGTGTGTGTGTGTGTGTGTGTGTGTGTGTGTGTGTCATGCCTAAATTTTGCCTAGCAGTTAAAATTTTGCATGGAGCAAAGGTTTCACTGCCCAACGAGGCCCAGTAGATGGCCCTTTGGTTGGGGAAAAATAAATCAATCCCTCCAAATTCTGCCTGGCAATGGAGATTTTATACAAGCCAAATGTGGCTATGCCCCATCTGATACACATATTTTTTTTCATCACCCCTCAGAAATTCCATCCTCCCAGTGGTAGGTTTTGCATATGAGGCAAGTGTTACATTTCCCCCCACCAGAATTTTAAATCATGCCCACAGAAATTTGATTCTAGTGGTGGAGATTCTGCCACCTGGTGTCACACTGCCCCACTAACATGTAAAAACGTGGATAGTCGACTTTAAATGGTGGAAAAAGTTGTCCGTTTGGTTTAAAAAAAAACAAGAGACAAATAATGATGCACAACAAGCTTCCTCTGCGCTCTGTCACCACCTACCGATGCCCGTACACCCTACATCATTATCAGACCCAAAAGCACAGGTCCAACCCTCTGAATCCCGATTTAATTAAAAAAAAATTGACAGGGGTGCAGCAAAAAAAAAAAAAAAAAAAGGGAGTTAAACGACTTTTTTTTTTGCCAATTTAGCAGGACACTTCGGGGGCCTTAAGCAGGCCCTGGTCCACTGCGGGAGTGGCGGGGGCAGCGTCGGTCGCGGGGGCGTGGCCCCGCTGGTGGTCAGCCGTATGGGAGCGTGAGCGCGGGCCCTCGTTGGTGTGTGAGCGCGAGCGGTTGCCCTCGTGGGTGTGCGAGCGGGAGCGCGAGCCCTCGAAAGATGTCACGCTGGAACCCGAGGCTGTGCGGGAGCGCACCCGGCGGGGCATGCTCGCCGCATCCTCCCAGTGGTAGGTTTTGCATATGAGGCAAGTGTTACATTTCCCCCCACCAGAATTTTAAATCATGCCCACAGAAATTTGATTCTAGTGGTGGAGATTCTGCCACCTGGTGTCACACTGCCCCACTAACATGTAAAAACGTGGATAGTCGACTTTAAATGGTGGAAAAAGTTGTCCGTTTGGTTTAAAAAAAAACAAGAGACAAATAATGATGCACAACAAGCTTCCTCTGCGCTCTGTCACCACCTACCGATGCCCGTACACCCTACATCATTATCAGACCCAAAAGCACAGGTCCAACCCTCTGAATCCCGATTTAATTAAAAAAAAATTGACAGGGGTGCAGCAAAAAAAAAAAAAAAAAAAGGGAGTTAAACGACTTTTTTTTTTGCCAATTTAGCAGGACACTTCGGGGGCCTTAAGCAGGCCCTGGTCCACTGCGGGAGTGGCGGGGGCAGCGTCGGTCGCGGGGGCGTGGCCCCGCTGGTGGTCAGCCGTATGGGAGCGTGAGCGCGGGCCCTCGTTGGTGTGTGAGCGCGAGCGGTTGCCCTCGTGGGTGTGCGAGCGGGAGCGCGAGCCCTCGAAAGATGTCACGCTGGAACCCGAGGCTGTGCGGGAGCGCACCAGGCGGGTCATGCTCGCCGCCGGCACTGCGAAGAGGTTGTGGTGGTGGGTGGCGGGGAAGGGGTGGTGTAGACAGAAAAAAAAACAACAACAAATTGAACATATGTCCTGTTTGATTGACATTTTGGTACATTTCTCACATGATGAGCTGGTGTATCTAATAAAGTGTCCAAAACTGACTGTTCCAATCCGACGATTGATAGGGATTGCGTTAGAGGCATGTGTTGCACAGCCTTGCCTGATCCAGCAGATTTTTTTTTCAACAAAAAATTAGCCAGACATTCCATGATTCAATGGATTTTGATCTCATATCAGCTGCAGATGTTAATCATGCTTGGCAAATTCTGCTGAGTAGCAAATATTTTGCAAAGCTGCCAGCACAATGCATTGTGGTGGCAGAAAAATACCAAATGGTGATTTTGTGTTTAATGTTTGGTTTTTTTTTTGTTTTTACAATTACGTGCCACCAGTTATCCCTCGCAGTGAAGGCTTGTATGGTCCAACTTTTGCTCTGCTCCTTTCAGAGCTAAAAGATGGCCCCTGACATCATGTTTTGTTTGTTCTACTCATGGCCCACAAAATCTATCTAGTTGTGACGATTTTGCACAATGGGACCTCTTGCACTACCCTGTCAGATCATACAGCTAGCACTGTGAACTGAAAATATAATCTTACAACTCTATTTATTTTTAAATATACTGCCGACAAGTTGTGCCTGAGCGGCGGAGATTTTGCATATGTGGCAAGTGCAAAGCCCAAATGTGGCCACAAGGGGGAAGTCGTGTATTCGTAAAGAGCAACTTGGACTCACTGTATCCCATCCCTTGAATGAAGTACTTGAACGCCTCTGTCAGCTTGCCGGGCTGTACAAGAACAAAAATACAAAATGTCTTCACATGATTTATGTACTGACTTATATTTATTTCTAAAAATATTGTATGAATAATTTGCCTTTAAGATTTGAGTCAAATTTTGGCCATCGCCATGCTAGCGTGTGATCCGACTCGTACCGTAGCTAATGTTATTCACACGGTTAACTCTTAATTCATGAATGTTAATCAGTGTAATCCTCTATGACATAATATAGTTTTGTTATCACTATTTCGTAAATAGTGATAACTAGTGATGTGCTTCTCAGGTCGAATCCCCGAATCATGTCGTGGTAAATAGTATTTACCACGACATGATTACTACGAATTACATTTTGAGTGTTTTTCGTGTCAGTATCGCACAAAAGATATGAACGTAATCTTCAACTTTAAAATGCAGTACCCCAAATTTCCTTACAGAGGTAGCCAGAGTACAGCTATGCAAAGTATGTCTCCCCTTTAGTATTTATTTCATGTAATTGTCCATTTCTTAATCTGTCTATGAATCTACACATGACGTCATACACACCTGGTCAATCTGGGGCATGCCTCCACAGTCGGCCATCTGAATGGAAATGAAATATTACATGATCACAACACTGATTCATGATCAACTTCAAAGCAGGTAAAAAAAAAAAAAAAGGCAGTTAGATTGCTGACGCTGTTTTCTCCACAGCGCCATTAAATGCCACATTAACTTTGGCCGCCACGCACACTGCCAACGTTTTGGCCGGCGGCCTTTCGGGCCAGGCCACAGGTTGCAGCAAGTAGGTCAGATGCAGCAGATTGAGCACAGGCGCTGGTTAATGTGTCACCAGGTGAACACACACACACACACACACACACACACACACACACACACACACACACACACACGCAAGTTGTGTCATATCTGTGACGATCACAAATAGCTGGAGGCTCGCACCTTAAGCAGGGTTGCTTTTGTGGGGTCCAGTTTGGTGTTGCACTCCACCTGCGGACAACAACACATCAAAAGTTGGGTTTCGAGACAAGCTCAGGTTTCAAAGTAGGATTTTTTTAACAAGGGTTCAGGTTTCAAAACATGCGTTTTCAAGATGGGAATAGGGTTTCAATTTTTAATTTTAAGTTTTAATCCTTCGTAATAGTTTTTAAATTAGGGTTTCAAAATAGGGTTCAAGCCTGAGATGGGGTTTCAAATTGGGGATAGGGTTTTTAATTTGTTTCAAGCAAGGATTCAGGTTTCAAAGCAACGTTTTGAGCCTGGGTTTGGGTTTTAAAATTAGGGTTTCAACCATGTGTTACTGTTTCAAATTAGCTTTGATGTGATAACGTGTGTCAATGTGATAATAGCATCTTAAATTGGGGTTTCTAGCCTGGGTAAGAATTTCAAATGAGGGTTTAAAGCATTAATGTCATTTAGTTTTAGCGTGTTCCTCACCACGGCGTCCACAGCAGGCGAGCTGTCACCGACCACCAGAAGGCAAGGACACCTGGGTTCAAAGGTCACACATAAGTAGGGCGCCGAGATAAAACAAATGACAAACGCGACCGGCGCTGACTCACTTTAAGGTTCTGACGTTGCTGCCCGGCACTGGCCTCTCGATATCCAGGTCCCTCCGACTTCAAAAAGACAAACAACCCCCCAAAAAAATGTAAGTAAAATCCAATGAACTACTAAAACTGTAACTTCCCAGCCGCTATCAAAGGCACCATGACCTTTCACCTTTCGTAGGCCTTGATGAAGAGCTGCAGGTTGAACTGATTCATGTCCTTCATCACATGGTGGCGGTACGTGGCCACCATGTCCTGGTTGTGGTGAATCTCCTCCTGCGAGATTAGCATTTGGCATCGTTAGCATTCGTTCGCCGCCAGTCGCGCGAGCAAAGACTAGCATGGTGCAAGCTAACCTTGCCAAAGAGGTGGCTGATGACCAGGTCCGGCAAGGCATGGGTCCAGCCGCTGATCTAAAAATCAGAATTGGAGTCTTTTATCACAACATCCATGAATTAATATATTCATATTTTTGGATTTAAATTGGGCATTTGTTACCTTGTGCGCCGCCCAGTCCATCCAGCCCTCGGCACATGGGTTGATGTTGATGAGCACCAGCCCTTCCACCATTTTTGGGTAATCAAGCTACCGCAAGCATAACATTGATTATGTTGGATGACAGTCATTTCAATAAATGTATCGCAGTCATACAATTGTTCTTTAATTTGTATCTGTTTCCATGTAGTAGTAGTAGTAATAGTAGTGGTAGTAGTAGATTTTCCATCAATTATTGCCCACAAATGGTGTGCAGCGGTAAAGATTTTCCTGTTAGGGATAAGTTTTGCATTTCCACGCTAGATCTAGACACAGGTGTCAAAGTCAAGGCCTGGGGGCCAAATCTGGCCCGCCAAACCATTTTATGTGGCCCGCGAAAGCAAATCAAACATGGCAACTCCCATGATGCTTGCTAAAATATGTACCAAAATTTCAAATTCTCATATGTAATAAATAAGAGAGATATTGTAAACATTTTCTTGTTGCCAAAAGCCCCATTACAATAACTTATTAAACAATAGTTGAATAAACCGTTATTCTTGACTTCTTCATATGATTTCAGTCATAATGGCCCTCCAAGGGAAATGGTAACTAAAATGTGGCCCGCGACGAAAATTGGTTTGACACCCCTGATCTAGAAGATGGCGTTACTTTTAAATCCGGGCATGAAATCTTGTAATGGAGGTTTTGCAGTTAGGCCAAGTGTTGCCCCACCAGATTTTTTTTTTTTTTTGTGTAGCTCTTACCTACAAATTCTGCCAACCAGAACATTTTGCATTCGAGGCATGTGTTGGGGTGTTTTTTTCTTCCAATTCATGTCTGACAAATACTGCCTAGTCGTAGTCTAGCGCCAGTCTCCCTTATTTGAATTTATGACATCCCAGCGCCGTCCCCCCAAATGCAAACGAGATTTTGCGCTCAGAGAAATGGTGGAGATTTTGAAGCAGCGCAAGTGTTCTTCCCCATCTGACCCAATAGATGGAACTTTGGTTGTTGTGGGTTCATCATCCCCCTCAAATTGGGGAAATTTTGCATGATGGACAAGTGTGGCACTGCCCCACCAGTCGAGCAAATGATCATGTTCTATAAATACTGTCTAGTGACGAGTAAAGTATTATTCATGTCTTGAACATTTTTTTCTTAGTAAATGATTGTGTGAGGAAGAGGAGTTGTGTGTATGATTTACAGCGAACTTGGTCAGCATGAAGGCTCCGGCTCCCATCCCTAATCCAATAACAGACTTCAGCCTGCAGCGTGCACACAAACACACGCACACAAAACACACACGCGTGGTGTTAGAACAAGTCACAACAACAGTCTGTCGCATGGGCCATTGAACAAGCAAGCGTTGCAACCTACCCAAAATGCTTCAGTACAAGTGGGAGCGTCTCAGACAGTTCATCCATGGTCGGATACTCGTACCTGCGGGGTGGGGGGGCAAAAATAGTCATTTTTAATATAGGACAGAAAGAATTTTAAAATGAAATGCAAAAATAGAATGAAATTGTAATTGAAGAAAAACTCAAATGTATAAAAGTATCATAAAAATACCCCAAAAATGACCTAAAATATAATCTTAAATGCAACAAAAACAAAAAAGGGAAAGTTTACAAAAAACAAAATATAATTTGATATGTAAAATGATTCTTTTTTTAAAAATGGATGAATAAAAACGTAATCATCTAATTTTAAAAAATATTTTAAAGTATGATTTAACACTCAAATGTAATTTTATGTTCAGAAAAAGTATTGGAAACATCAAATAAAATATAACAGATTGACAATATCTTAGAATAATATGACCAATGAATGACATAAAAACTACTGTAAAATATGTTAAATATAGTAGAATACAGAAATATTCCATACACACACACACACACACACACACGCACATATTAACACACACAAAACATATATTCGAAATATAATTTAAAAAATGAAAAATGTCTTTAATATGATAAAAAATACAGACTTAAATTTAATAGAATATCTAATACTAAAATTCAAATTCATGTGCAATATAATCCAAATATTTAAAAATATAATACAAAAAAATCAAAATGTCAAAAATATGATAAATGAAAAAAAATAATTATCATGTACTTTAAAATAACCCCAAACACAAAATATGACATAAATATGACCCCAAAAAATTTGTTTATTTTTAAAATAACTATTCAATTTAGGTGAAAAAGAGGTCGCGCTCCCACCTGCCTAAACCAATACAAAATGAGGTCACCTGGCACCGATGTCGCCGACATCTCAAAGGTCACGCCGTGCTTTTTCATGTGCGTGTGCGTTTGGCTCACCCGGTGGAAAAGGTGTTCGCTCCCTCGTGCTGTCCGAGGGCGTCCACGTGACACACGGCAAAGTGGTGCAGGATCTCGGCCATGTCCTCATGCTGGAACAGCGAGTCCCAGCACGTCTTATCTGCCCCACAAACACCCAAAACATCACATCGAGATGAGTGCGAGGAAGACGAGCAAGAGTTGCTCGCGGGCCGTTCTGCCTTACGGTTGAGCCCGATGTCGTGGAAGGTGAGGACGACGGGCCGCTCCCCTTTGGGGACCCCCCGCATGGTGCAGTGGAGTCTTCCGTACGGGGTCTCTACGTCATGCTCCTTCCAAAACAATGCCAAAACACTACTTTTAATCATTAGACACCAGAAAGTGCTGGCTTCAATGTAACCCAACGTGGATGACAAATAGCCCATGTTGGGTTGAAAATAGACCCAATATGCAATTTTAAGTGTCTTTTTTTTTTTTTTAATCTATTTTGTAGGGTGCCCCTACAAACCCCGCGAGCGGACCCCGGATAAGTGGTCGAAGATGGATGGATGGCATTACAAAGTACTTGGTGTCAACATTGAAAGTGATCTGAATTCACATCAGTAACATAACTGAAAAAAACTATAAAAAAAAAAAGTCCATTTTTTTTTTTAATATTTACAATTTAAATTCAATATTTAACCCTTTCATGAACCAATAACGAAAACCTGATAACAGGATAAACTGTCCACTATAGTAACCGTTGTCCCTGAAAGGATTAAAATCCAAATCTTTTTTTTTTTTTTTTGCCTTTCGAAAAGTACATACAAAGTTAAAACATGAAATCAAGCGAAGCAAAAACAGAATTTCGTGATATTTCCTTCTTCATCAAAGTATGAAGGAAAATAATATCGACTCAAGTGGACGTACTTGTTTTCCAGCAACAATATCAGATGCATGTTACAAATGAATAACCAACAATTATTATTCATCAAGTGTTGGCAATTCACACATGTTGTTATATAAAACTTCCTCATTTTTCAAACCAGTTTCTTGGAACCGCTTTGCATTTCTGCACAAGTGCCTGAAAAAGCACCCCATCGTGCTATCTGCAAAATCCCCCCCCCCCCACCCCAAAAATAAATCTGACAAAACTCCCGCACGTGGACTCACGGTAACTTCAACGTCAGTCACGATCATCTCCACGTCGGAATCGTCCAGAACCATTTTTGCCAGAAACTCGTGATCGTATTGAAAGGCAAAAGTCCGAAACACCAGTGGGGGCAGTGGAGGGCGGCTCAAGACCTTTATAGCGCTAAGACGTAAGCCCCCCTGACCTCCCATGGTGCCTTGCGACCTGGTCAAAACAAGCTAATTCCAGATGGCGAGATCCTTAAATTGGATTGCCGTGACCAGGCAGCAGGTTCGCGGTTATTCACTGACACACTCAGGGGCGGGAACTTGAAATAAAATGGTAGACGAAATAACTCTGTTGTGTTTGTGCAGCTGTGAGATTCCAAAAATATTCCACCGGTCTTCAGGAATGTTCTTATGTAAACCTATTTCAGTGCCATTCTGATGTCAGATATACAAAAGTGGCACTGGAATCGCGAATTCTCGTTGACTTTCTACTTTTTTGTTTTTCTTTTTACCTTCACCTCCTGCTTGACCGAGGGAAGAGGGTGACCCGTTTTACCTGACGTAAACACACAAGACGTCATCCGCAACCCCGCCCACACGACACGAGCTCATAGACATGTAGGCCGCCCGCGCGTAATCCTGTAGCGCGCACGCGCTTGTGCGTGCGACACAAACAAGTTGTGTTGGGCTGTAATCATCACTGTGATGAAATCGATCCGCCTCAGGCATTAAAAAAAAAAAAAAAAAAAGCCCTCACATTTTGATTCCAAGTACCGTTCAGTACGGAAGGAACGTATATTAGTTTTACAAACAACATATGGTCCAGGTCATTTTTAGAGCAGGTTAAAAAAAGAAATGCGAAAGTGTTCACTTTTAGTTATTCATTTCAAAATATTTTTAAATGTTGTATTCCTTTCATTAACTTGTATTTATTCCATTTAAATGTTTAAAATGATGTAAATGTTGATATAAACAATTTTGTATTATGGAACACATTTGAATAAATAAATTAATAATGCAAATGGCTGGAGAAAAAAAACATTAGACGTGCATGAGCAGGCAGACCTAATTAGCTGAGCCCAGATTCGATTTCCTGGCTAACGAGATCACTGAAGATGAAGCCAAGACCATTAGTGTCACTTACTCATTTTGCCACTAGATGGTGCAAGCCCAGGTGAATCAAACTGGGTCATGTGACAAAGGTCGCTCGTTCAGATAAGATTTATTAGCGGCCTGGCTAATAAGTGCTAGCATACCTTGATAGCGAGCTAATAAATGTTCACCATGTGTGCAAGCATACCTTGATAGCGAGCTGCTGCACCGCCTCCCTCAGGCCCTGCCACACACACACACACACACACACACACACGCACACACACACACACACACACACACACACACACACACACACACACACACACAAAAAAAATAACATTATACATCCCAACAACACAATTAGCATACGACTAATCCTAGATCCCGAGAGACGGTCAAGTCCACCGACATCCGTGTCGCATATATGTTTGTTTTGTGAGTGACAAGTCTTAAGATATTGTTGAAATACATTTTTTGTAATATTTCCTACATCATGTCATATTTCGTATAGTTTGTTTAAATTTGTATTTTATTTTACTTTTATGTATTTTTACATTCATACTTTTTTCTTATAGTTTTCTTATGTTTACATTTTTCGAATCATATTTTTATTCCAGATATCTCTGAGTCAGATGGTTTTCTCTGTCAGTCACCCTGCATCTTATCGCTCACAGCACTAAAACGGCCATTATAATCCTTATATTAATCATGAAAATGAATACATACGGGCAGTTCCCTGTCGACCAGCAGAGGTTTGGATTCAACAACCTGGATGTCGTCCATGTCAATGGGCTGCGCGGCCTGTTGGACCACAAAACAATTTACGTGACATTACGATAGAGTTACAATCCAAATGTGACTTCCGCAACCTCAGCGTGTTTTCTCGCCCACCAACTGGTTCTTCTGGTGCGTTTGCTATGTTCGCACCCCTTTGGCAGTGTAAGAAAAATGAGACTTGTTGGCTTGAGAAAAAACGGATGACTTTTGCTCTCTTTTGTTTCCACGTGAAATGCAATTTAAGGCCGTCGCCCAATGCGGCCTGGTGAGAGAATGTGCCGCCAAGCATTGTGGATAGTTTTTTTCTTTTGAATATCAGTCACTCAACATGTCCTGTCAGGCCTACTGTGCCCACATGCTTCTTTGACGTGTGCTTTAAACACACCTCATCTGCTACTTGTTGTTAACATGGATGCAGACACGGCTTACTCGTATAGTGTACACACAATAGAAGTACAGATACTTGCATTAAAAAAAGTGTAGACTCTGAAGTGTACTTAAGAATACAAGTAAAATTATTTTACTTTTACTGTTACAATTCACATTTGATAGCTTGATATTTTAAGTTTTTTTTTTTTTTTAACCAATAACTACCCAGCGTTGGCGCGTATGTTTTATGCTAGCAAAATGCCTTCCAATACGTTTGCTAGCATCGTGACCCAATAACGAAAATTGCTAGATGAGCGAATGATAACTGACAAATACAGAGTAACTTTGGTTCGCCAATTAAATTTGTTCTGTGGGGTAATTTTTCTTTTCCTTTCTTGCTCTTTGCTACTATAAAAGTAGGTTGCAACTTGGCTATCGCAGGAAAACAGTTGAGAACCACAAATGTGGACCATGTTTGCTACTTGAAATGTAAATGCCACATTAGCACATCGTGCTACTCGTGTGTGTCCACAGTTAATGGCTTGTCAAGCTGACACAGCGAGACGTCTTGCACAGGAAGTGTGAAATACGCTCTCTCTCTCTCTCTCACACGCACACGCACAGGCACAGGGTCGGGCCAGCCGGGAGACCGGAGCGATCCGGATCACACAATGGCAACGAGGAATATCAAACAACACAGCCATTTTTTGGGTGGGCTGCACTGCGAAACTTTTGTTGAAGGACAGGGAGAAGGAGGAGAAGAAGAATAACAAAGAAGGCGGGGCAGCCACAGCGATGCCTTGACCTGTTCCATGTGCTAAAATGCTAACATGATGTTAGCAACTTAAATGATGTCACAGTAGCTACTTATGGTGATGATGTTAGCTCCTTGTTGTCTGTATGACATAAGAAATTTGTATAGCTATACTTGTATATATTGTGGTGGCGTGTGATGTCATTGTTAGCTATTTTTTGTGTAGATGGTCGCTACTAGTATCAGGGATGTTAGCGACTTATTGGCATGTTCATAAATATGCTCCGAGCGTTCACTCCGACTGTTCCGAAACACAGACCATTGTCGAAATGAACAGTTCGGTTATTCAGAGTGCACCAACACCAGAATACCGCGGAAAGTTCTAGGCGCACCAAACTGGGGACATGGTGCATGCCAGTGCGTCAGGCAGCACAAATAGAAATGGCTAAAGCATGAGATGCTATTTGGTTCAAACCATAGATTGCATTCGGAAATTAACAGGAGCTGGACCTTGCGCTGCCTTTCCCGATGATGTTTTCTACTTGTAACGTAGAGATGTTGGCTACATGTTCTACAAAGGAAGCTACCAGATGTCGATACGATGTTATGTATAGAAAATTGGGGGGGGGGGGGTAATTTTATAGATGTGGCTTGTATAGAGTACTTTAGCAATATGTACGTGCCTGTTGTGTAGACGTTTGCGACTTCTTGGGAATGTTAGCAACTTATATCGATGTTAGCAACATGTATAGCTGATTTTTGCTACTTGTTATAACCTACTTGTCAGTGTTCACTACTAGCTGTATAGACAATGTTAGCTACTTGTTCTGTAGACAATTTTTGGTACTTCCATAGGTTATAGCTACTTGTGTCAATGTCAGCTACTTGTATAGACTTCTAGCAATGTGAGCAATTGTGTTGCCATTAGTTGCTTGTTGTCTTCGGGATGTATGCATAAATGACATTGTCTAATTATAGATGAGACAAAGCTAGCAATTTATGAGCTTTCGAATCCAAAAAATGCTAACATGGCAGAAATTGGCTTTGATCATCACACCTTCCTGTGTTGCTATCGTCACATGACTAGCGCGTGTGCTCTTCTATCAAAGCTGGACATTTGATTTTTCTTTTTTAATTGGGGGAGTTTCATGCAGGAAATTGGATTTAATCCTCAAGATCCTAAACTTCCTGTGTCCTCATATGCCGCATAACCGTTGTACCAAACATACGTGTGAACTTTTTCTCACAAGGGTCTTCTTATGATCGTAGAATGATGGTGTTTTAAGGGAGCATTCCGTGCTAAAATGCCAATATGGGAAAACAGACTCAGATCTTCATAGTGAAAAGCTTCCTGTGTGCTTATCGCCGCATGAACAGCACACGTGCCGTGAAATCGAACACACTCGTGTGAATTTTGACATCTTTCACCCCCAACCCCTCACAAGGGTCTTCTTATGTTACTAGAAGGGTGGTGTGAAGGAGCCATGGGAAGGGAGTAGGTTGGCAGCGTTGGTTGTTGCAGTTTTGGTGTCTGTTGCAACCACCGCACGTCAAACCGGTCTCTCGGTGCGTGTCCTGACTGCTCTGGTTGCTGTGTTTTTTTTCCATTCTTTTTTTCTCATTGCCTAAAGAAATGCTGGCACAGGTCCGACTTGTTATGCAATCGGGGGAGGAAATGAAGGACGGGGAGAGAGGGGGCGTCAGGATGGTCCCACAAATCTCCTGCCTTGCATAAAAAGATGAATTAAACTGAAACAGATAATGATGGCACTTTAAATTAGCAGGATGGAAGCAGGTAAACCATGTGAGTAACGTTTTTTTTGTACATGATAGTTGAAGATTTTAGCAACTTGTTCCATTCCCAATGATACAATACATCTTTATTTATATAGCGCTTTCACAACAGCTACATAAAATAACAAAATACGGTAATATAACACAACGCATGACATAAGACATGGACAGTCATGCAATCGTAACAGCTATTCCTGCATACGCCTTCTTGTTTGAAGCAGGTATAGATGAAAGAGGGAAGAATCAGTGTCCTTTCACCATTGCATACTCATTGTGTGCATGACGTCCCACACGTCTGCCACAAGCTAAGTTTGAAAGTAAACAAGAAGCTGTACGGTCAATTGACGAAAAAAAGATAGTGGTTTACTTCTCCCGTCCTATGTAAATCCGCCACACAACAAACACCATATGACAACACAAAAGACAAAAAAACAACAAAAAAAACAGACGGTTGTTAACTATGGTGCCATTTTCTTGCGTGATGATGTTCGTATCAGCAACCTGTTGCATTCACAATTTGAGCAAGACAATGTTAACAACTTGTATTCACGCTGTTAGCGACTTATGAGATACACAATGTTAGCTGACTAAGCTAGCACCTTGTTATATAATGTTAACGGATTACAGTATGTTCACAATGAAAGCTGACAATTTTAGCTGCTTGTCGTCACAATGTTAGCTGACGATTTTAGTGACTTGTATTCATTGTATCTGCGGATGTTAGCAACTTGTTAACTGATTTGGTTTCCCACTTGTATTTATATACAATTCATATTGTAAGTTGATTACGTGATGCTAGCTGCCAGTGTTAGCAACAGTTTATCTTAACCATTTTGGCTAAAAGTGTTCATTTATATTCATAATGTTAACAATTTATGTTCACGATGTTGGCTGATGATGTTAGTGACTTGTTGTATTCACAATGTTAGCAACTGGTTAAATACAAAGTACACAATGGCATCTGAAGATGCTAGCAACTTCTTCCATGTTATTCACGATTTTTGGTACTATAGCTACTTGTATGGATGGTAGCAACTCATATAGGCTATGTCAGCGATATTAACGCTTGTTGTGTAGATATTAGTCACCTGTATCTAGGATAATAGTGACCAGTTTAGAGAACTTGTATTGCTGATGTTGATATTTGTTTTATAAACGATATTAGCTACTTGTCGTGTTGACAACTTGTATGGACAATGCTTGCTAAGTGTGCAGAGAATTTTGGAACATGGATAGATGTTAGCTACTTGTGTGCACTTGTGTTAGCAATGTTAGCTACTTGTTATGTAAATATTAGCTACTTGTATCATGATTTGAGCTACTTGTTGGATAAATTATGTTAGCTACTTATTGTATAGACAGTTTTTTTTTTGCTCACGATGTGAGCTATTGTTTGCGTTAACAATATTAGTTAACTTTTTGTCTCTCCTCAAGGATACTTCTCTCTTGAATCCAAGGTCTGCATCCATCTGCAGCAACAATGATTGCTTCCCTAATCTTTTCTGACAAACTCACTTAATCTGTCAAATCCCTCGCTTGTCAAATATCAACAGAGGCAAGCAAGCTAAACTGAACTAAACTAAGCCGAGGCAGACCTACATTTGTACTAAACGACCAGAGAGAGAGGGGGGGGGTCCTGTGTTTTGTGTGGCAGAGTCATGAAAGTGGGCGAGGATGCGTTCAAGAACCAGATTTTGTAATATCTCCACACAAAAACCGGAGGGACCCTGAACGCGGCTTCAAAGGGATTAGTTACCAGGTCAAAACAAAACAAATAAGTGGGAATGTAACACTCTAATGAGTTCACCAACCCACCCACCCCAAAAACGAGGGACCCTGAACGCGGCATGGCAAGGATGAGTTACTGGGGCCAAAGGAGGACACGCGTAAACAAGCCACCAAAAACTTTTTGTCGCCGCCAAGAATGCAAAGTAAAACGTCTCGTTACGCAACTTGATCATCGAATCATGTGACCAGAGTGCTGTCACCCAGTCACGTGGTGTCTCCAGCGATTTCTCTTTCTCTTTAACGCATAAAATGAAAAGAGATAAAACACATTTTCACCATTAGCGGGTTAAAATAATCACTACATTAAAATACAAGCAAAAATTACCCCCCAAAAAGTAATCCAACACGCTCGTGACCATAGAAAAAAACGGATTTTTTTTTAATACAAGAAAAAAACATGACAATGCACCTTTTTATGTGCACAATGACGTTTTTATTGTTCACATTTCCAACTCTACTGTGACTATAAACTAAACTCCGACTTTTTACGTCATTTGTTTTAAATAGGCGCATTTATTTATGTGTTTATGAATTGTAGATTGCACGGAAAACCCGTCACATGTGCATCCCCCCTTCCCCCCACCTCATAAAAAAAAAAAAAAAAACACGTCCGGACACGTCTTGACCAGCAAATCCGCGTCCACACACACGCCTCTCCTCCTTTTCTGCACGTGAGTAAAAAAAAAAAAAAACATTTTAAGTCTTTAAAAGTCCAACTTACCAGCAGATTTCAAAATGTCCCGAAAGAGGCGACGTGGGGGGGAGTCCACCCAAAAAAATGTCTTTCAAAAAAATGTGAGGTGTTGTATTCAGTGACGGCAACAGTTTTGTTTACAACGTGCGGGCGGATGTATGAGGGAATTTTATAAAGCCTGGGGAGGGAGGAGATGAGAGTTACGGAGGGAAGGGCGGGGGCGGAGGGCGGTGGGTTCAAACTCGGCCCACTTTTCCCGGATTGGGCAACATCTGCCGCGGGGAGTGATCGTGCAACCGAGTGTTACTTTTCCACAGCTTTGCAGGAGCACAAAAAAGAACGACAATAAAATTCCCTTTAAAAAAAAAAAAAAAAAAACGAAACAAAACTGCATCGTACACTAAAAAAAAAAAGTACAGCTAGTTTGCACGGGGACAAAATTGCACATGTGCAGCTATTGTACGTGACGCCCTCAAACGGCGGAGCAGCAAAATGTTGGCAAAACCGTGTGACGTTCAATGACCCGACTCAGGAGGTGGGAAAACAGAGTGGCGCAGGAACTCTGTACAACTTTCTTCAATTAATCCATATATGATGTGAACCGTAACCTGACAAGGGTAGCAGGCATGCTGGAGCCTATCACACCCATCTTCGCGCGCTGGACGCCACTCGCCAGCCAATCGCAGGGCACACAAAGACAAACAGGAACCCTTCACACTAACAGTCACACCTAACGATAATTTTGTGTGCAATTAGCCTACTGTGCATGTTGTTAGAATGTGGGAGGAAACCGGAGTACCAGGAGAAAACCCATACACCCGGAATTGAACCCATGACATTTGCACTGTGACTCGGATGTTTTCAAAAGCTCCAATTCAGAGATGCGTACTTTAAAAATGGAAATATCTCCAAATTTAGTGCCTTTTTTTTCTGTTTTTCGCACCAATTCCGAGAATGCTTGCTATACGCCGGTATCCCAGTTTTACCAGCGCAACCCATCAGAATTTGAATTTGACAGTTGTACCGACATTATTCAGGCAATGAACATTGAGGAAATTTTCCTGAAAATTCCGAGGGCGCCCGCCAAGAATGCAGCCCTCGGGGCGCGCCCCTAGCGCCCTCTTGCTAGCTCGACCTCTCGATCCTCAGATCAGCTCCTCTCATGTGTCAAAATCAACAGCGGCATTTCTCATCCCTGAGCAAATCGAAACGGTTTTGGGGTGTTTCCTCTGGGCGAATGCCAGATGTTTTCATTGCAAGACAAGCCGAGGAGGAGGAATGCCGCCGGGCCGCCAAGGAGATAACGCGGCACAAAGGAGGCCCGTATTTCGGCCTCCGCATCCTCCTCCTCCCGACTGGAGGGCACCATCAAATGCTCCCATTTTTTACTCGGGAATTGAGTTTCATAAGTGTGCTTCTTGCAATTCCGCAGCGATGCGTCCGGCTTTCACGCCTCCTTGTGGAATTTTCCACACCTGCCGACGACTGACTGACTGTTGCACTGTGTGCGCGTGAGTGGCCCCGGCTGAGGCACAATAGGCGCACTGTTGCCTTGTAACGCGAGCGAGGCCCTCAATGGGAACACAATGGCCGCATTGGAAGAGGCCAATAAACAAAACGAAGGCAATTTTCTTTTTGGTGATGGTGGGGGGTGTGGGAGGGGGGCAGTATCTTATGTAAAATGTGTAGCACAGTTTGCAGCGCAGAAAAAAAAAAGCAACAAATGTAGGTTGATAGTTGATCACAGCAGCAGCGGTTTGGACTTTTACCCGCTAGATTACACTTTTGTTTGCAGGAAGAAGTCAGTGAGTGTGGATGGGGTGCCGAAAGTCAAGTGTTCCAGAACACACGCGTTGTGCATTTTCGTTTTGACTTCATCTTAGCTATAAAAAAAAAAAAAATCGATAGTACATCAACCAGATTGCTCAACAGTTGATAAAAGTAGTGGCGGACTTTCACCCTGGGAAGAGCCACTTTGGACCAGACCGGGAAACTTTCTTCGCTGTCTTCGAAAAGCAACAAATGTGCCTTTTATTTGCTCTTTTTCGATGATAGTAAATTGCCAACATAGCAACAAAACGACGACAGCTCAACAGAATTACAAAGGTTGTCATTTATTAGCCATTCAACGGAGTTGAGGCTAGCAACACACGGCTAGTGGAAGCTAGCAGCGTAGCACTCCTTCACCGGTCTTGTTAGCATTTTCTAAGACTGTTGCCGTCGCCACCGTGTCATTCCTATGCAGGGCCGTCGCGCTATGACAATATTTTACAATGTCTGACCTTGATATCGATCGTCTCACTCAAGTGGCGATAAGACTGCCCTCCTTTGCCTGTGGGTGTCGATAAAACTGTTACTGAGTGACTCGCCGGGCGGTGGACAGATTGAAGGTTTAATAGCGCTTGTTTGCTCTGTGTGCGCAAAGGTTAAGTTAAGAATAGTGCTTGAACATGTCCAACCGCTATTTCCTGACTGTTTGCCGAGTATCCAAAGTTGCCGTGCCGCTCAGCTGACAGATCTTTAGCTTCTTCCGAGAAAGATGCCAGACTCATGACATGACATGACATGACATGACATGCTACGCGCGACGCCTTGGCATTTTGCACGCATTGCTCGTACTGAACGCTCCATTAGTTTGAATGAGGGCCAGGGCAACCGCAGGATTATAATTCATAAAAAAGGGAGGGGGGGAAAGATACACGCACATCCAGTACAAATGCCATTTATGGATATTAGCATCTAAGCATCCGCACGCAAGTGTGTATAAGTTAAACAATTCTTAACACAGCCTTTAGCTTCACCATCTGGTTTTTTAGATTTTAAGATGTTTCAGGGCAGGTTTTGAAGTGCCCCACCAGAAGCAGAAGATGGCACAACGCAAGGGAAATTTTTATCCCATCTTTATTTTTCTATTTTCCTCTCCTGGATTTTAGCATTAATAGCTCATTCATGTAACATTCAAACAGCTGCGCAAACAAGCGATGATCGCAACTTTACAGCAGTCACTGCCGATTTTGCGTTTACGGCACTGCTTCGACTTTTTGTGCAGTCAAGAGAAATATGACGAAAAAAAAAACAAGTCGTGAGAAATATTTGTATTTTTTTTTCTGTCAAACACACAAAAGAGTGAAGAATGGCGATCTTAACGGGGGGTGTCTTCCTGGATTTGTTTTGTGTCCTGTGATACACAACATGAAACAGAAATGTGATGTCACGAGCGGCGGAGCAACGGGGTTTATAAATAAGCTATTTTTGAGGATGGGATGTTTTGGGGGCGAGAAACGACAACAATTGACATTTGGCACTGTCGCAGTCAAACATTCACTCTGGGCGTCAATGAACAACAAGACACTACTAATCATTGCGGAATTGTTTGGGAGCATGGAACTTGGGTGTCTCAAGGACAACGGTCACGCTTGTTTGTTTTAATATTTGAATACCGAAGTGAACAATTAACACAAAGCAGGTCATATGAATCCAGCGTGTTGTAAATCAAAGGTTAGTGACTCGGTATCATCGACTTGCGTCAATAAAAAAAGGTGATGACGAATAATTGAAACTTTCAAAGGCAAGCAAATGTTTTGTCTTGTTTGGAACTTGAAAATAAGCCTAAGAATCCCTTGATGTGATTTTTTTTTTTTTTAAACTACAGGACATTTGTTGAATGCTATTAAGGCATAGCATTGTAGAATAAATTTTATTTGCATTTCACATTTAGCATGCTTATAATGTGTATAGGCGGCCCAGTTGACCAGTGGTTAGCGCGTCGACCTCACAGTGCAGAGGTCGTGGGTTCGATCCCTTCCTGTGTTGAGTTTGCATGTTCTCCCCGGGCCTGCGTGGGTTTTCTCCGGGTACTCCGGTTTCCTCCCACATTCCAAAAACATGCATCGCAGGCTAATTAAACGCTCCAAATTGTCCCTATGTGTGAGTGTGTACGCGAATGGTTGTTCGTCTCTGTGTGCCCTGCGATTGGCTGGCAACCGGTTCAGGGTGTCTCCCGCCTACTGCCCGAAGACTGCTGGAATAGGCTCCAGCACCCCCCGCGACCCTTGTGAGGATAAAGTGGATCGGAAAATGGATGCATAATGTGTATCTCCGTTATAGTTACAATATTATGTATATTACACTTAAATGTTTTTTTCATTTTTTTAATATTTCATATCTATATTCTCTTCTATGTACTTTTTATTTTTGAATACTTCCTAAAAACGAATTACACTTTATTTACAGTTTGTTTGAGTATTGCAATTAAATTAGTACTTTTTTTGTATTCTTTTTAACTTCTATAAATACATGTATTTTATTTTTGTACAGTAATTTTATTTATTTACTTTTATGTATTTTTTTTCTATTCATCAAAATGTTTCTCTCCTCTTTCACGACATTGTTATAGCTGCATCACAATTACATTTGTGGACTTTTTTTTTCACTCTTTGCATTCCATATCTCCATATTCAGTTTAAAAAAATGTAGTTTTAATTTACTTGACTTACTTTATATATTTCCCTGTTGTAAATTTCATTCCTGAGTTTAATTAGTATTTAGTATTGTAGTTACATTGATGGAAATGAAGAGCTCAATCATACTTTGATTTATTCATTGACTGTTTTATTTTTGCATGCTTTTTGTACTAAATATCCCTAATAAAAATGAAGACAAGACAAAATACCGAACATGAACTCATGACTAAATGATGAAATTGCTGCTTGTTGTTTTATTAATCACATGCTCCTGGTGACTAATTATTGACTGTGCTGGGTGTTGCCTCTGTGTGATGCAATCCACCCCCCTCCGCCCCAGGGTTGTGGTGGGCGTGGCTGCGCACGAGGACGACGAGTAAGACGTGACCAGGCGACCCGGATGCGGCAGTGCCGCCACGTGGCCAGATCAGGAAGTATTATGGAAAATTCACTTTGTAATGTTTGTATACAAAAATACATGAGACTTGTGACAATTGTTTTTATTCATTTATTTACATTTTGGCTGTCAAACTTGATAAACGGTACCAAATGAACTATTACGTAGCAGTCGTAGGTTGAATGTTTGGTTCTTTTTTTTTTGCATTTCCGTTGTCATAAATCCTAAAGATAAACGGTTGTGTGACATCATCTACAAGGGATGTCGTTGGATTTGTTGTAACAATTAACAAAATAATCGTACCGGTCTTTTTAACGTTAACTGCATTTATATTACTTTTATTCTATGATACATATAATTTAAAACGTCATTCAAATTGATTGACTTAAATGTACCGGTAATTCCAATCGAATTTTGTTTTGAAATTTCAGCAGACAGACAGGGGCAAAGATGATCCTTCCCACAATCCATCGCTGCGACGGATTACGGCGGTTTGAGCCACTTTGGGTGATCACAGCCTGAGACGGGGGTTAATCCTCACAAAGCAGACACACACACACACAAACATGTAAACAAATTGCAAGACAAAAATTGTTACCTCAGCCAAGGAAGTTTTTAGTTTTGTGGTTTTGGTATGTGTTCACCTGTGTGGATGTATAGATGGATTTCAGATTGTCAATGGCCACAACACAATTAGTGATAGATTTCTTTTCTATTTTCATTTATTTTACATGCTCTATACTTTTGAATGTAAAAATTGCATTTTTAATTAGCATATTTTAAAAAGGATACTAAATGAAATATTTTTTTACATTTTAAATAAATTCCACATTACATTAGCCATAATATTATGACTGAGTATTATTTATTCCGGGTTCATCTTTTTCCCCAATCACATTAAACTAGAATAAGAACTAATTTTATGTATGGTATCAGAGTGTTTCACTGTCATCTGTCAAACACAGACCAAAAAAAAAAAAAAAAAACGATTGCATGCTAGTTCTCAATCTGGGTCGCTCCAATAATCTGCCGACAAACACACAAACATAAACCTCCCTTCCTCTGGTTGCCATGACGACAGGACTCACATGTTGCCTCCTGAACGTTATCAGTGTATAAAAGACGGCGTGACCCTGATACAGTCGGTCAAAATGGAACACCGCAGAAATGTGCACTTTTGAAAGAATGTTTTACATCAGAGAGCGTCTTATCCTTTCGTGCACATTAAACACGTTTGTTTATTGTGGAAAAAAGTGTTCACCCCC